TAATTCTTAAATTGATTATTTTACTGCATAAATGTTTAGATATGAAAATCAACAAGGATGAAAAAAAGCAAAATTAAAAATTGATGAGATAAATAGGATAAGTTCTTAGAAATAATGAAAAAGATTACTTTATTTATAAAATGTTATTTTTTCATCATATTAACACTTATATTTATTTTAAATGAAAAAAAAATACAGCATTTTTATATCAGGATGATATCTAGTTTTTTTAAGTTTTTTTCATTTCTCATTCAGTTCTTATGATAACCATTTCTGAATTTATATAATTATTTTTAATTTCTTAAATAACTCAATATCAGTTTAAGATAATTAATTAATTTAAAATAATTAATTATTATTTATCTATTCATCTTGATTTTACTTAATATTTATTAAATAAAACCTTTCATCTTGTATTATAAAAAAACACAAATAAAAGGGCATATTAGACTGAAATTCAAATTAGAAATATTAGTTGGTTCAGAATTAAAAATTCCATTATATTGAATGATTAACAAATTACTCTTTAGATTTATAAACTAGGCATCCAATATATTAATGATGTTTATCAATTTACTTTTTTTTTATACAAAAATATTGTATAATAATGTTTTTTTAAAAGCGAATGAGTCTATCATTATGATTGGTATATTAATTAAATGCAATCATTTTTTTAATTTATAGGATTTATCTGGCTCTTTAGCTTAATTCTTTATTTGAACTATGATAACAATTATTAATGATTCAACCTTTTATCATTTAATTACTTATATAATTGATCTTGAGAAAGTTCAATAAAATGAATAACGATTTTAATATTTAATTATTTATTCATTGATCATTATTTATACTACTATCATCAATTATTTGTAAAACAAAAAATAATAATCCCAAATAAAATGGATTACATTATTAATTTAATAATAAGTTAAAGATGATATAAAAATTTAATTTTTAAAATGAGGAAAAAACCAATCCAATGAAAAATCAAAATACTATTATATGAAATTGTATAACTCAAGATTATAATTTTGTTCTTATTAATTAAATTTTTTATTGAATAAAAATTTAATAAGGATGGTTAAGTTATAATGCTATTTCAAAATTTTTGATAGCTTATTCATTTAAATCCAAAAAACATAACAAATTTGCTAAATAGAATATGATTTAAAACCTTTGTTAAAATATGCATTAGCATAATTTGGATCTAATTAAATCGCTTTATCATAGCAGAAATTTGCTTTTTCGAATTATTTCAATTCGTATAAAGTATTACCTAAAATTCATTTATGGACATACCTTTGTTATTATAGGCAATAAAATTATTTTGATCTAGTGAAATGGCTTTATCATAGTAGATAATGGCTTCTTCATATTATTTCAATTCGTGTAAAGTATTACCTAAAATTCAATTATGGAGATAAAAACCTTTGTTATTATAGGCATCAACATTATTTGGATCCAGGGAAATCGCTTTTTCATAGCAGATCATTGCTTATTTATATTATTTCAAATTCTTTAAAGAATTACCTAAAGCTCAATTATGGAGACTAAACCTTTGTTAAGATAGGCAATTATTTTATTTAGAGATAGTGAAATCATTTAATCATAGCAAATAATTGATTGGTCATAGAATTTTAAATCATCTAAAGAGATACCTTAAATGCTATTATAGAGATAAACCTTTGTTAAAATATGCATCAACATAATTAGGATTTATAGAAATCGCCTTATTATAGCAGTTAACTGCTTCTTCATATTATTTCAATATTTTTAAAGAGATACCTAAAATTCAAATATGGAGATAAAACCTTTGTTATTATATGCAATGAAATTATTTGAATCTAGTGAAATTGCTTTATCATAGTATACAATTGCTTCTTCATATTATTTCAATTCGTGTAAAGTATTACCTAAAGTCCATTATGCAGATAAACCTTTGTTATTATGTGAAAAAACATTATTTGGATCTAGTGAAATCGCTTTATCATAGAATATAATTGCCTATTCATATTTTTTCAACTTGTGTAAAGAATTACCTAAAATTCAATGATGCATATGAAACCTTTTTTATTATAAGCATCAACATTATTTGGATCTAGGGAAATCACTTTCTCATAGCAAGATATGGCTTGTTCATATTATTTCAAATAGTCTAAAGAGATACCTAAAATTAATTATGAGGATAAAACCTTTGTTATTATAAAATATAAAATTATTTTGAGACAGTGAAATCGCTTTATCATAACATATAATTGCTTGCTCATATTATTTTAAATTCTTTAAAGAGATCCCTAAAGTGTGATTATTGAGAGATAACCTTTGTTATTATAAGCATCAACATTATTTGGATCTAGGGAAATCACTTTCTCATAGCAAGATATGGCTTGTTCATGTTATTTCAAATAGTCTAAAGTATTACCTAAAGAAAATTATGCAGATAAAACCTTTTTCAAAAAAGGCATCAATATTATTTGAATCTAGTGTAATTGATTAATTATAAAAATCTAATGCCTCATTATATTTTTTTTAATTTTTTAACCCAAACCCTTTAATGATTAATATTATAAATACCTTTTATATAATAAAAATATCCTTTTTTAGGGAATTTTATTATACATTATTCAGCAATTGAAATAGCTTATTCATATTATTTTATTTCCATTAATGATATAACTATTAATTATTTTAATTTATACTTTTCATCCATAAAGCATAAACATTATTTTAATCTAAACTTAAAATAGTATCACAAGATATCATAAAGTCTATATTTTTTTGATTTTTAATGATGGCATTTCTTTTCTTGAATTTTATTAAAGAATAATCTTTAATTATAATTCATTGATACTTTATAGTATCAAGCTAGAAATATCGCTCTTCTTAATTCTTAACTTTTCCTCTACTTCTTTTAAAGTTTAATCTTAAAAGTTAGGATGTTCAATTTAGAATTTCTCTAACATTTCAAAAGGCTTACAATTATTCTCCAATTACATTAATATAACACCTTATTTTAATTTATTATACATTAATAAAACCATGCTAAATAATTGGATTTATCTTCTTTTAAAACTTTTTCCAATTTTACTAAAGCACATTGGTATTATTTGTTGTTTATTAATTCAATTCCTTCTTTCAACCCTAATTATTAAGAATATAAATACAGAGGTTAATAATTTCTTTCTCAATTTGAGATTATTTTAAGATTCTATTGCAATTCTTGATGCTGCCAATTTATTCACAAAATTCCTTGAATTTTTATTCTTTCAAATTTTTGATCATCTCTGAAAACTTTTGTTATTCTTTATAAATTTATTTGACTGTGTTTTAATACTGCTGTTTGACTTATTGAAACTTCTAATCAATCTATACTAACATTTTCTTAAGTTCATATATAATAAAATCTATGAGTATGTCAATTTTATCAAATCGCTTGCAGTCATTTCTACATTTTTCATGTTTTTAAGGATTGATTAAACATTCAACACAAAATTGTGATTTAGGTTCCTGGCAATCAACAGAAAGACAAAAACCTACAATTGGACTTCCTTCATGTTCTACATTTTGACAAAAAAACATTTATATCTTTTTAATATAAATTATAATAAATCTTCTTCATAATATATAACATTAAAATTAGTGACATATAGTAAATTATAATTACCAAAACCTCACTATAATTTGGTATTAAAAATTTAGTATAAATCTAGTGATTATTTCAATTTAAATATATTTTTCGAAATAAATTTTATTAAAATGACTTTAAAATCATAATTTGAATACTCATCTAAATAAGAATTATTTTCCCAATATAAAACTCAGTAGATTTAATTCATAAGATTACTTGAAGACTTTTCATCAATCTATTTGTAATTAAATCTTATTTATAATCTGATGCACTAATCAAAGTGCCTCTTGCTTGATTCTTCAAAATAATTTTTAATTTAGATGGTATTGCATTTTTATATAAAGGGATATATATATATTATTAAATTTTGGGCATAAAGAAATCACTACATTTTATTATTATTTATCTTGATTTAAATTAGAATATCAGATTTTGACTTAATATTTAATATATACTTTTTTCTTTCTCATAAATACTTTTATTATTGATGGAATGCACACCTATGCAATACCCCCTTAATGATTGCTCTATCATAATTTAAATACATAATAACATCCTGACCTATTCTCAATTTTCTTTCCTCGAATCTCCTATAAATAATAAATATTAGGAATTTTTTGTTTTATAAACTGCGAAGAACAGCCTTTGAGAGAGCTCAAATTCCATAAAGTAGTTCTTATAATTAGTAGCTTATGTACTCTTTAAGAAAGCTATTCTAATTATTATTATAGATACCACATTGCCAGTTTAGTACCACGTTAAGGATTTAAAATATCAAAAATAATCAATATAAATTTATTAATCTCTCTTCTAAAAAGAAAAGTTGTATGCATTTAAAGATATATTGCTCTGATTTTTAAGGTAATAATTACAGAATTTTTCATCTCAAAGAAAAAGAATATAAATTTGATAATATATTATTTAATACTTTCAATATTATTATATAGCCACAGATGTAAAAGTTAAATTTGCAGTTGACTAATCTTTTTTTATTGTTTCTTGTGATTGATATTTGTTTAATGAACCAAATGAAAACCTAAACCCGTATGAATGCATCACTAGAAAAGTTATAAAGAAAAGATAATACGTAACTTTTGGTTCGATTATTTTGATCAAGAGTTTATTGAAATTTAAGAAAACCCTAAGTAAAATATTTATTAATAAAAATATTAGTGTAAATGAGAATTCTAAATTACAATGATATCCAGTACTTCTATTTAATAATCAAGTTTAATCTTATGTATTAGCAGCTAAAAAGGAATGATTTTAAATATTAAAAAAAAAAATCCTAAAGAACAAAGACTAATAGAATTATAATCCTCACCAATTAGAATTCAAAAATATGAGTCAAATTTATTGTGGAAAATTTTAGGAATTTTTAAATTTTGGAAGAAAGAATAATTGTGGATAATTTGAAACTAATAACTTAAGTTTATGAAAAACTCAATCATTAAAAACATCAATAGACCAATAGTCTAATAAATTATAAAATATGATGCTAAACTACTTCATGCAAAAAAAAGTTTATACAAATTATATTTATCTTGAATTTCTGTATTAAGACCATCAATACTAGAAAGATAAATCAAATATTAAATATAAGCTCTATTCAATCTCAATAATATAATATAATTACATAATTTTTGATTATTAAAGGTAATTCAAATGATCTAATCAATATTATGATTTTAGAGTTTAAAGATCATTATCATAATAAAATAATATTAAAATCTATTTTATTTATTACTATTTTTGTATAAGACAATACTTAACCAATCCATAACTTATTTTTTTATCAAATTTATATTATCTGATGTAAGAATTATTATATTTATTCTTTAATTTGTTATATTTTATTAAAAAAATGTTAAAAAAATAATAATATTTTAAAAGTAATTGCTTTTAGTCAGTAAATATAATTACACAATTTAGAATTTAAATTGTATTTATTTCGATAGTTTAGACTGTTCTACTAAAAGCACAGTAAAGTCTATATAAATTGTTTATAATCAAGATAAATTAATTCGATTTGAGAACAATCTAGATTTATTATAAGAGAAAATTTTTTTTTAATTTTTATTAATATTTAGGCAATAATAAAGATAGTAGACTTAATTATTATGTAATCAAATATCATAATACTCAAAGAAGTCATAATCAATATGATCTAGTTAAAGGATAACAAATAATTTAACTTTTGGAGAGAGTCTGGAAATATAAAGAAGTATATATATTTACTGTATAGAAGCCTAATACTGATTAATTTGAATTAGTAAAGATAGAAATCTGAGGAGTTATCTTATTAATTTATTAAAATGTCAGTATATAAAGGGAAGTGAACTGATAAACGAAAAATGATATTGTCGCCAAAAATATTTCTATAGCTAATAAAAGTCGCAACAGAATTTTTAATGAAAAGAGATACCAATTCTATGAGGGTTAAGTTAAAGTAATGTAAATTAAAAAATTTTTGTTATAAATTAAGATGTACAAATATTCGCATATATCAATAAAAATTTGTAATTCAGGAATTATTAATAAGATCATAGATTTAAAAAATTTTATCATAATTTTTAGATTTTGATGGACCTAGTAAAATGCATAGTTTATCATGTTTATTGAATAGTAGAGTAAGTATTTTAAACAATTTAAATACTGTATGATATTCTAAACTAGTACTTAACAATAAATGTATTATAAATCATTTGAATGTTAAATAATTCTTAGTCCTTCTTAATTAAAAAATCATTATTTATTATTGAATATACATCAGTAAACTATTTCTTTTAATAAGATTTTAATAATTCCTTCAATATTTTCATTCAAAGATGAAATTATTTATTTCTTAGAGTACTAACTAAAACAGATGAAATTCTTTAAAACATCTACACTAAAGAATTTATTGTTAATTATGTGTATTGGCTGTTCCTTTAAAAATAATCCCATAAATTTAATCCAAATTTACTTCACATATTCTTAAATCTTAAATTTTTTAGAATTACTTTAATGTAAATTTATTTATTTAGAGATTAAAATTTATCAAATAAATACTAAAATAATAAATTATAAATTATTTCTTTTTGTGTTTAAAAATTACCAAAGATAATTTAACTTTAAATATAATTTTTATGATATTGTACATGCTGAAATCATCTTTATGAAAATTATTGGTTGCTATCTAAATTATGATATTACTTTATTACAATAATGTCCAAAAATCTTCAAATTTTGAATTAATTATTACTCTTTACATAATTAAAGAACCTTGTGATAATAAATATTAATTGTTTATATAAATAAAATTTTAGTATTATTGGCTACTAAAAATTTGTGATAATAAATATCACCTTATGAAAGAAGATTTAGTAGGTGTGTTAAATTACGCTAAAAATCTTTATAATTTCTATCAGGAGAAAAAGATGTTGAGTAGAAAATCTGCTTTGATCACCCACTGTCTTTGAATAGGAATTTTTTATGCATAATTGGTCTAGTTGAGATGATGATTTTATTTGAAAGAAAAATTGTTAAAGAGGTTTTTTTGAGTAATTTTAGATGTATTTTGGAGTGAAGGTAAAAATTTTAGAATCATCATCAAGTGTCAGAATTCAGTATCAGTATTTAAATTTAACCTTTGCCTTATTTAGATGGAAAAATAATAATAACTTATTGTTATTAATAAATTTAAGTTAATTAAAAGATTTTTGAAAGATTGCTTATAGTTAATAACAAAATTAAAATAAATAGATGAATTAAGCCTTTAAATTAAGCAGGTTACATTCTTATATTTAACCTTTAATAGTTCTTGCATTCGTTAAAAAATTATTAAAATTTCTAACGTTCCATTACGATGCTGTAATTTATTCTGGTTTCTTGCAGTTGATTACAAAACAATAAAAGAAAGATAATATCATATAATTGAATTTTAATAATGTTAATTTTATTGTAAAAATCATTTTTATTTTAAATCATATTGAATTCCTAAAATGTAACTACCTTTTTGTTTAAAAAGTGTCTTTAAATCAATTCCAAATTAGTTTATAAATTCCCCTTCCGAAATTAAAGCACTTTTTGCTTAAAATACTGCTTATTATGATATTAATATAATAGTATAATTGGTAATGGCTAAGATATAATAAGCAATTAATACATAAAAGGAGTTTTTCTTAGAATAATGGGATATTAGATTTTAATAGAAGATCTTTGATATTTTTTTCAGAGAATTGAACTTATTATTCCGTCCGAACATCCCATAAACGTATAGAGTTATCATAAGAACCAGATGCTAAAGTAGTACCATCAGAAGAGAAGCAAACTGAATAGACAAAAGCACTATGACCATCTAGTTTGGCCTTTTACAATCCTGTCTTCACATCCCATAAACGGATAGATTGATCAAAACTACCAGATGCTAATGTAGTTCCATCAGGAGAGAAACATACTGATTAGACAGATCCACTATGACCATCCAATTTGCATATTTGATATCCTGTCTTAACATCCTTTAAACGGACAGATTAATCATCACAACCATATGCTAATGTAGTACTATCAGGAGAGAAGCACAGAGATAGAACGAATCTACGATAACCTTCCAATTTTGCCTTTTATTATCCTGTCTTAACATCCCATAAACGGATAGATTTATCATTACTACCCGATGCTAATGTAGTTCCATCAGGAGAGAAACACACTGATTTAACAGAATTACTATGGCCAGTTAATTTGGCCTTTTATTATCCTGTCTTAGCATCCCATAAACGGATAGAAGTATCATTACTACTAGATGCTAATGTAGTTCCATCAGGAGAGAAACACACTGATAAAACAGAATTACTATGGCCAGTTAATTTGGCCTTTTATTATCCTGTCTTAGCATCCCATAAACGGATAGAAGTATCATCACTACTAGATGCTAATGTAGCGCCATCATGAGAGTAGCATAATGAATAGATTACACCACTATGACCATCCAATTTCATCTATTATTATCCTGTCTTAACATCCCATAAACGGATACATTAATCATGACCCCCAGATGCTAATGTAGTACTATCTGGAGAAAAGCACACTGATAGAACATGATTAGTATGACCATCCTAATTGACCTATTATTATTCTGTTTTAACATCCCATAAACGAATAAATTTATCATAACTACCAGATGCTAATATAGTACCATCAGGAGAGAAGCATACTGACCATATATTTTCACTATGGCCATCCAACTTGGCCTTTTATTGTCCTGTCTTAACATTCCATAAACGAATAGAATGATCTCCACTACCAGATGCTAATGTAGTACCATCGGGAGAGAAACTTACTTAATTCACATAAGTACTATGACCAACCAACATGGCCTTTTATTATCTTGTCTTAACATCCCATAAACGAATAGAATAATCTCTACTACCAGATGCTAAAGTAGTTCCATCAGGAGAGAAGCATAATGATAGTACATGATCAGTATGACCATTCACCTTGGCCTTTTATTATCCTGCCTTAACATTCCATAAACGAATAGATGAATCTCCACAGCCAGATGCTAATGTAGTTCCATCAGGAGAGAAACATACTGACCATACATTTTCACGATGACCATTCAACTTGGCCTTTTATTATCCTGTCTTAACATTCCATAAACGAATAGATGAATCTCCACAGCCAGATGCTAATGTAGTACCATCAGGAGAGAAACATACTGAGTAGACAGGTCCGCTAAGGTTATCTAAATTTGCTTTTATTTTTCTTGTCTTGACATCCCATAAACGAATAGATTTATCATTACTACCAGATGCTAAGGTAGTTCCATCAGGAGAGTAGCATACTGAATTTACACTATGAGTATGACCATCCAATTTAGCTTTTAATTATCCTGTCTTCACATCCCATAAACGGATAGATTTATCAAAACTACCAGATGCTAATGTTTTTCCATCAGAAGAGAAACATACTGATTATATACTATGAGTATGACCATCTAATTTATTAAGCTCATGTATTTTTAAGTTGATCCATTTACAATTTAACAGCAAAGCTCCATTCAAATTTATACCACTTATGTTAACATTATCAAATTATGATCCACTTAAGTTGCATCTTACAAAATTAGCTCCCACTAAAGAAGTATTCTAAATCCTGATTTTTTCAAAATTTGAATTTTTTAAGTCCACCTTTAGCAAGTTTAATAAATTTAATGAGTTTGATCCACATTAAATTAAATTATCATCTTAGGCTGTAAGGTGAACTAAGAATTTCAGAAACCCAATTATCTCCTTTTAATATTTAATTCTTTTTATTAGATTCTGTCTCGGTTCAAAATATACTACACCAGAATAATCTTATTTATTAAAGTCGTGATCTTTAATTTTTTGAATGACATTTATAATCTGTCTTATGTTCTTTCTTAAAGTTCCTTATCTCTATTATCTTTCTTCTTTTGTTGAATTTTTTCCTTGTTAAATGTTCTCTTCTAAATGTCTTTGATTTTCATCATCTGAAATAAATCTCATCCAGTCTTAAATATTTTCTTTTATCAACATTTCATTTATCTAACAGTATAATTTTTCATCCACTTCCTTCACCTCATCGAAAATCCCTTCTAGATCTTCGTTTTTTTCTCTGGGGTCTTTCATTATCATTCTTAAAAAAATTAATGAATTTCTATAACATAACTTTAGGTTTTTAATGATAAATTTATTTATTTGAGAATCTAAATTAGTAAAGATGTTGATTTTTAATAATTGATCATTAATCGTCTATTGAGTTATCAATAAAACATTTGCAAAATTTAATTCATTAAGAATATAGAATAAATTTTTTACTGTGAAAACAATAATAATTGAAATAATATAAAAATTGCTTAATTTGAGTTAAAATAATATTTATTGATGATCCAATTTTTATCATTTATTTTTCTGTTGATCCTAGCTATATGCATATGCTCCTGGAAATTTTAATAGTAAACTAATTGATTTCAAAAAATCTGCTTCAATCCTTACTATTTACAATAATATAGAATTGGTTTAAAGTTAGATATATTAGTTATTCTCTTAATTATAATATCGATAATCTCACAAATAGTACTTTTAATATTGAGTATTAATTTCTTATTAAGAAAGATAAAGGAACTTGGTAGAAACTTCTAGTTTTAGAGTAAAGTTGTAGGTTATGTTATCAGTATCTAATACGATTTCCCTTAATTCCTGTTTCATTTTCTTTTACCCTAATGGCATAGAGAGATTTCACTCCTTATTTACTACTGTTACTTTTGGTATAAGCTGAATTGTTAGCTTTGAAATTAAGCAACTTTATTATTGGTTTTAAGTATGTAGTACCCTTTATCAATTATTGTAAGAATAATTATGATTTAAATTTATAGTACTTTTTAATAATTTATATTTTATACTTAAAATTTAGGATGAAGCTTTAGGCAGTAATAATAACTTTCAGAAAGACTTGTTTTGGTAAAATAAATTGATTAAGAAATATCAAAGATGGAATATAAAAAAAATCAAGGGATGACATTGTGAAAATTACAATGGATTTTTTTTGAATATTGTTTACATTAGGAAGAGAAGACTTTCAGTGTTAATACCTCTTTTAAAGCATAATCTTTATTCAATTAGAAGATTCATAGTCATAAATTTCATCCAAAATTCGAATAAATATTTACTTCTGGGTAAAATAACAATTCAAACAATCTAAAAATATATACTAGTAGAATTCACTTCTGATTTATGACTTCCACGATTTATTTATCGACTCCTGTTAACTTAGATATTATCCATTTCATTTACTAATTTATCCTTTAGATCTGTGTTATCTATTTAGATCTAATTATACTTCTAAAATTTTTATCAAAAGATTATCTCTATACAACTTCTAAAAAATAATTAAAATAAATTAGGATAATACCATTTATTTTTGTGCTTTAAATATTGAGCAATTTTCTTCGAACATACAGTTTGAGCAATTTAATCTCTATATAAACCACTTGTTCAGAAATACCATTCGTTTTTTGTGTCTACTCTATTAATTTTTGGAGTAATTATTGATAAAAACCAAAGCTTAACTTAAGTTAATATTAACTATTAATTTAAAGTGTTTAATAATTCATCTACTCAATTAATCTAGAAAATTAAAATTTTTATGCTAGATCTATTGACTTTTATATCTGAGTTTTGTTTATTTCAGCTTCTTTATCACTGTAGTTTACATTCTGATCATAACCTTTGCTTCTTCTGTCTTAATCATTGTCATTCAAATATTGTCAGATATTATAACAAGTGAATGGATTTCTTATTAAAATTTCCATTAATTGTTATTATTATTCAATTTCCAACTTAGGATGCATCTATACTCAGAACCAGTAATAAAGCTATTAAATTTTTGCTATAAATTAAACAGACAAAGAATTAGAGTAAATCAAGAAAGAGTATGAGATGAATTTTGTAATGGAAGAGAATAGATAATGCACAATATTGATGTATATATATTAATAATTTAATGAATTTAAATGGGCAAAGGAGAGTGTATCAATAGCTATATTATATTCAAGGTACTGTTAAACCTTGATACTCTTTATTGTTAAAAAAAACAAATCATGATTACAAAGCTTATTCATATTGGCTTCATATTTTCAAATAATATTGGATTATTATTTTATGCCATATCATGGGAAAACTATATTTAAAACCTCTTTTAAATTATTTAAAGAGGAATATTTTGATAAATGCAAAAAGCTGATTTTGAATAAAATTTTATAATTTATATATGAAACAAGATAGAATGGAATATTATTTAATAAAAAAATCAAACAACCCATCTAAATATTTTCTATCATGGGTTTTAAATAAGTTGAATTGAATTATATGCGAGCATATGAAAGAGATGATTATATTTGAAAAATTAAATTAAAATGAAAAGGATGCATTAATATTTTATGAAGATTAATTTTAATTACATTTTTTTATTAGAAGTAAATTTTGTTTCTATCCTTAAACTTAAAAATATTATAAGAATGAAATAGATGATAAATTAAACTTGGAGTTTATATATTGGGCAAATTCCATTTTCAAATTAGAAATGGATATGTGTTTGGAATGCTATCCAAATAATTATTAAGCATTAATTCAACAATTAAAAATGATACTATTCAGTAATCAAGCAGCTAGATTAATTAATTCCCCTACAGGACTAACCTATATGTTACAATATGACTAGACCAATTAATTAAAACTATTATTCAAATTTAAGGAATGAATGATTCATCTACCAAACTATTTTGAATAAAAAGGATAGCTTTTAATAATTCCGTTGATCATTAATAATAAATAGATTAAAAAAGTATTTTTTTAATTAATTTTTAGTTGAAGCTGAACTCTATTTCACTAATATACTAAAATTAAAGTAAAAAACTTAAGATATTTTTAAAATTAATTGGAAAAAGACCAGAGGTCAAAAATTTCTAAAGTAAATTATTTATGTATTTGATAAATAAGCATGAAAAATCTCCAAATTAGTTAGCCATATATATTGATATCATCATAAGAAGAGAGAAAGAAAGAAATGAAATAGAAGCTGATAAAATGTTGACTTAAATTGATTCTCTCTTTCAATTACTTTATCTACTAGATATTTTCTTTCAACATTATTACAAACTATTACCCAAAAGCTTTGCTCAATTTTTAGTTATAAGATCAATAACTAGAGAAGTACATTTTTTAAAAATTAAAATTTGAAACTGATACAAATGTTAAAAAGAAAGATACATCTTGAATGTGAATACAATGTAAATGATTGCTTTACTTTAATTCAATAAAGCAGATTCATTCTCAATCAAAGAAATCTTGGGTTTGACTAACATTGATCCCTATTGTTTGTATAAAGATAATAACAAGGGAAAAATAGGACATTTAAAGATTTTTAGATGAAAATGAAGTTCTAAAATTAAACAAACATAGGTTTCACAAAAAGGGCCAAAAAATTAAGATGTTTTCTAATCACAATATAGAAAGAGCTGTAAAGCCAATAATTGAAATTTCTAGCATGATGAAAGTGAGGAGAATTAATAATTAAAATAGCAAAGAGATTAGTTGTTAAACTAGAAAAGAGAATTAGTTGTGGATTCTTAATTGATTTCATTGATGAAAAAAAAAAAGCAATTGATTATTATGAATTACTTTAAAATTGCTAATCTATAATCTCTATTTTAGACTAGATTAATAATGTATGAATAATTGAATATAAAATTTGATTTAGAGATATAAAATTGCAAGAGATGAACAAAATTTGTATTCATTAATTTTATTAATTTAGGAATGTTTATCATTATCAGAATTGACATTAGACAATTTAAGTATTAATTAAAATACAATGTATTTAAATATTACATCTGAAATACAAGAAAAATGGTTTTTCCAGAAGATTTTGTTAACATTAGAAAATATGTGATTCAATTTTTAAGAATCTCTTTCATTTTAGATCTAAATCTTAAGGAGTATTTGTTCAACTCTTACTTCTTTACTTAATAAATATTGTTAATAATATTGTAGTATATTATTAATATTTTAAGTAGTATACATTTCAAACAGGATAAAATAATGAAAACCCTTTTTGAAGTGAAACCTTCATTAATAAGCAGTAACAATGAATTAATTTTCACCATTTTATGGATTTTGCATCACACCGATACGAATGTAAGTATTTGAACAATTGTTATTTGTTTTCTATATTTCTTGGGTAAATCCTTATTAGTTTTTAATAAAAATTTGGTGCCTAAATATAATGTTTAAGATCTAATATGACAATAGCCTTCGCAATCTCAAGTGTATTCAATATATTCATTGTTTTGGAGCCAATCGTAAATTTAGATTGCGACAAACCAAAAAAATCGATGTTTTGATTATTCATATCATCAATTCTAAGTTATTTCTCTTTTAGAAGTTAGAGATTTTTATATATTAACCCTACTATTTAATCCTCAATTAATTTTAAAAGTAAACATAAGAAAAACATAAAAATAGTATTAATTGATAAGACAAGTTTTATTAAATCCATTGCAAATTTATATAGTTAGTTAGCTTAATACTATAATTTATTAATTTTATTATTTTAGTATCAAAAATAAGTCTACAAAAAGATTTAAGTTATTTAATAAAAGGTGACGATGTGATTTAATTGCGATAATTATAAAAGGATTGAAAAATTTCTTTCACTTTAAACAAAATTTAGTATTTTTCAAAAATATTATGAGAGGAGATATGAATAGTTTACTCTTTTAACTTATTTAATTATATCAAGTTTATAAATTTCTAGAGATATTTGAAATTAGTATTAAATACTAATTAAATGAGTTAAGTAAACCATATATTGATATCCATAAACCTCTCAAAAATTGAAGTTGAATTATTAGTATTATTTATAAAAAATTGACATATTAAATTTTTAGATTGGCATTTCCTGTGGATGCATTTAATTTAGTAGCTTAGAGACACATAAATTATTAATGAGATTACACTTTATATTTTTGTAAAAATTTCAAATACTATTTAGGTTGAATAGTATTAACAATTATAATTGCTACAAACCACTGATTTGCATAATATGCATATTTAATCTATGATCACTTTAAATAGTGAACAATCACTCTTTTTGTTTATACATCCATAATAACAATAAACACAATTTTCCATAAATTGATGAAATGCAAATTCAGAATCATATTTATTTAGACTCAAATCAGAAAATTTTAAATCTGAACACTTATTTTATTTCAGATCACATTTATCGTAATACTTCTATATTAGTAATTAAAGGCTGAGTGATTCTTGAATGTAGAAATTAGAATAAATTAAACAAATAGACAGAATAATCTGTAAAATTGAGGAACTTAAATTATACTATACATAAACTTTTACTTTGGAACAATTTTATTCTGGATTTAATAGTAGTGTAATTTTTTAGTTGTCAACTGATTTTGTGATATCATTTATTTATAGCACAATATATAATATTATTTAAATAGAAGTTTAAATGCTTTCAATAATGATCAATAATCATTTAATCCATTCCTGTAAAATTAGTTCTCTACATGAATATTAATATAAAATTAAGGAGATTTTTAATCCTTATATTTATTTGGAATGTAGAGAAATTGAGGTTAGCGTAGACCTAGCTTTATATTTTCAGTTTGAGGCTTACTATCACCAAAGCATTTTAAGAAACTATCTTTCAAAATATGAATCTGATCTTTTTCTCCATTTATTTAATTAGATTGTTAAGATTATTTTATTTGTTATATTAATCAAATGTTCTTTTAATAAGGGCTCTCCTAGAAATGAAATTTCCAAATATTAAGTGTTGAGAAAAACCATCTTTTCCATTAATTTTGTTTTGAAAATTATATTTAATAATAATAACTTAAATTGTCATCAATTTTTCTAAAGACAAATCCTTATAAAATTTAGAAATTATTTAGAGTTTATAATAATGATTAAAATAAAGGTATCAACTGTTTTGTCTATAAAAAATGCTTCTCATTAAAAGAATAATTGATTTGAATATATGTAGAGGATTTTTAATTCTTGAAATAATGTATAATTAATAAAATTTATTTATTTAATCAAATATTTCAGTATCTGAAATAGTTAGAAATTCAAATTTTCATTAGTTTTATGATAATTCAAAAGGGATTTGAATTAATAAACCTTTTAATTTTATTGAATTTATAATTAAGAAATTTAAAATATTTGAGTGAAAATAGATAAAAATTTGTATTTTCCACCTGAACTTTTTTCTAATCAATACTGATCTTTTAGTGGTTTGTCTTGTGTTCAAACGGTGGCTTCGCTAGAAAAGTACTCAACATCATCATTTAAAACTTGCAATACAAGAGAAATATAAGTTTATGAATTTGAAGTACAAAAATATTTAAAATTTAATAATATATATACGTGATGATATACAACTTTATTGAATAATATAATTTATATTATCCATCCTTTTACATTTAAAATTGCGAAGTTAATATAAATAGATAATAAATAATACGTAAATTGTTACCTTTCTAAAAGATAGTGAATTTTTCTAAAAAGATTAGACATAAGTTAGAATTTTGATTGAAATTTGCTTTCTATATGACACTTGCTGAAATCTTTTCTTTATCAAATGTTTATAAATTTTAAATTTAATGCTACATCGTAATTACTGACTATCTAATAAGATTTATTTTAGATTTGAGCAATTATTACTAATATTAGGAATAATTTAAAACTATTTGTTGATTTAAATCTTCATTTGTAAAAAAATTGCTCATACTTAAAGTAATGATTTACATTTCAAGTGTGCTTAATCACCTTTATATATATATTTTATTCTAAATATAAATTTTTATTTATAATTATGAATAGATATATTATACATGAGGTCATAAAATTTAGTTTAGAATTAAAAAATACTAAATTCTTAAACTAAAAGAGCTAATTCAAAATTTAACTTAGTTCATTAATTTGCATTTCAACTCGAATACAATATTCATGATATGTTAAAATATGAAGATTGTTGAAATAAATTCATAGTTTAGTAGAATGAAAGCGACCTAATTTATCACTTGAAAAATAGTAAGAAAATATATAAAACAATTTAAAATTCATTATTCTGAGAGAATTTAAAGATGATAAATTGAGAGTTTAATTAATTTTTTTGAATAAATATAAATTCATTTATCTCTGTTCTTTATATTAAATTCTTAGAATTCTCAAACAATGTAATTTAGAATTCTTAAATGATAAACTGATAAATGTATACTTAGGTTGCCTGCTATTGACTTTTTCATTTCTAATTCAAATATACATCTACTTACAACAAGAATTAATAAACTATTCAATTCCAATTCAAAAGTTATTAGTTAAACTTAGAAGTATTTTAATTAAATTTACAGAGGAATTAAAATGATATAAAATATGTTCCATTATCTTATGTTCATCCAATTATTTGTAATAAGGAATTCAGAGATTTCAAAACAATGTGTTTGTGGGCATGTTAGAAGTTAAAATGAATGTAAAAGCTCTGGTTTTTGTACTTGGAAGAATGATTTGTGCATTTTAAATTCCAGTTAATCATACAATAAAGAGATAAATAATTAGAATCCATGCAAGAATTACTCATAAGAAGATTGTCGAGAATAAGAGCAGTGTGGCTTTTATTTTGGTCAATGTATTGATTTCATAGATTGCAACATATTTGATAAAGATAATTGTTAAGAATCGTAATATAAATGTGTATCTGATGGTTCAAAGTGTGTTTAGATGTTAGAATGTAGTGATTATAAAACAGAGAATGGATGTGCGAATAAAAATTAAAAGGGTAATTATTGCTTTTGGCTTGTGGGTACAGAGAAAAAATGTACAAATGTAAATTTATGTGAATAGTTACCAATATATTTAAAAAGTCATAGCATGTGCAACGAGGGTCTTAATGGGTGTACAATAAGCGAATAAGGTTACGGATGTATCGAATAAATGGAGTCATGTTCATAATATGTTAATTATTTTTAATGTTTTGAAAGTAAATTAAGAAAAGATAATTGTTTTTGGGATACAAAAAATGCAAAATGTGTTGAAAAGGTGTGCGAAAATATACCATTTACTTAGGATTATGAATGTAAGTCATATTTAAGTGATTGTACAACTAATGGAATTCATTGTGTAAGAAGGAAATAATGTAGTGATGCTTAGAATAAATTAGGTTGTATATCAGATGCATAGGGTAATAAATGTGAATATCATGAAAATTAATGTAAAAACAAGAGCTGCGATACTGCTCCAAATTCACTATCGAATTATCAATAATGCTAGGATTATGATAATCTTTTAGATTGTGTTACTTCACAAATAAAGGGATGTAAAAATAGGCCTGTAACATGTGATGGTTATGCTTTTGAAATTGATTGTTATTCAATATAAAAATAAGATTGTGTTTGGTATGAAAATAAGTGTGAATAAAGATAATGTTATCATGCTCCAATTTATTATAGTCATATAGACTGTCATCAATATGGAAATTGTATAGGAAAATTAAATGGAGGATGTTAAATTACACCTTAATCATGCGAAGATATATTGTAAGAATAGTTTTGTGAATTAAATTATAATAAAGAAAAGTGTATTTGGCTTGGAGGTAAGTGCGTCTTGTTAGAATGTAATAAGTTAAAATTACCATATTATAAAAATCATAAAATATGCTAATAGGCAAGTTAATTTTGCACCTTTAATTTAGATTCTGTTGGTTGTACAGATTATTTATGTGAAAATGTCTCAGAAATAGAATATTGTAAAATTGATTCAAGTGGTACTATTTGCACATTGAATTAAGGATGCATATAGAAATAATGTAAAACTGCTCCTCCATCTTATGATACCAATTAGAAATGTGAAGGTTGGATGCCAAAATGCACAGTTAATGTATAATTTGTATAGAATTAAAAAATCTTAATTGGGTGTGTAGATAAAAAGATTAGTTGTCAATTAGCTATTCAAGATCAATGTTATACAACGATTTCAGGATTTAAATGTAAATGGGATGGAAGTAGTTAAAGCTGTATTGATCAAGAATGCACAGATGCTGATCCTAAAGTTTATTTAACAAATGATGATTGTCAATAATTTTAAGTGTTTATCGGTCCTTGCATTATAGGATCATCTGGAATTGGATGTACAAAATGGCCAACTAATTGTAATCAAATGATAAATCAATAACAATGTAAATTGAATCTTAAAGATGGAACAAAGTGTTTTTGGACTGGTACTTATTGTAAAAAATAACAATGTTCTGATGCTCCTCCAATTAATTACACTAATAATATTGAATGCAACACTTGGTTTAATAATTGTATTTTTAATCATTCTCAAGGTGGATGCAAAGATAGACCAATTTCATTGGCTTGTACGTCTTCTCCAAATAATAATATGTATGATACTCATTAAGAATGTTTTGCATGGAATCCTAAATGCACAGTTACTTCCTCATATAGTGTTGAAGGATGTGAACAAAAAAAAGATAGTTGTTATGAATTTATTAGGCAAAGGAATTGTAAAACAACTCTAAATGGTTAAATTTGTTATTGGGATGATAAATTATAAATGTGTATGAATGAAGATGAAAATAACAATGGAGTTGCTGATTGTGATAAGAGACTTTATGGAGATCTAACTCACCAAGATTGTGAAGAATTCATGCCTAAATGCACATTAAATAATATTGTTAGATCCTGTTAATATCTTTCATACTATTGCGATTATCAATATAAATAATAATGCTAAATTACTAGATATTAGTAACCCTGTAAATGGGATGATCTTAATTAAAGATGTAAAAATGTAGTTTGTACTGACAATACTACTGCTTAAACTGAGGTTGAATGTTTAAAGTTCAAATAATAAAACGAATGTCAATTGAAAATTAAGTCTAATGGGACTTATGGAATTGGTTGTGAGAATAGACCTACTACTTGTAACTCGATTACAGACCCTGTTATATGTAAATTAACTCTAACTACTAATTAGCATAGATGCTATTATTTTAATTCTATTTGTTAGGTTGTACAATCAAATTAATGTGAGGTAATTACTGAAAGTAAAAGTGATGAGTTCTGTCAATTATATAATACTTAATGTGTTCTATAATCAAGTGGGTAAGGATGTTATTCAATGTTTAATTGTTCAGATTTGTCAAATAAGATTTGCAATAGCGCTATAATGAGATATAATTAAAAATGTAGCTTTTAAGACATTTGTCGTTGGGATAATGATTGTTCTCAAAAATATCTTTCTTCTAGTCATTGTAATGATTAAAAAACATAGTTTGGATAATTATGTTAATATATATATTAATGTCCGTGGTATTGTAACTACTATTGCCGTTTATAAACAACATAAAAGAATTTAACCTTTTCATCCTCAGCCACCCTTTTAGACAAATATAAATAATGTCAAGTCTATTCATCTTCATATAGGTATGATACAAATTGTAATTGTTGTGTAATATTGACTTCATGTAATTTGTAGATCGGTTCAGAACCTCTTTGTAATTTATCAATTGATCAATCTAGAAGATAATGTGGATATAATTAATAAACATAGACTTGTGAAGATAGAAAATGCGAACATTTGACCTCCAGTCAACCAATTTCAAGATAACTTTGCTTTGAATGGAAATATAATTGTGTTTATGATGCTACTGGCTGTAAGACCTTCTCAGGTGATTGTACAACTATTGGCTTTATTTAATAATGTTATTCCTTATCATGTTAATGGTAAGATGGTAAGTGCGTAAACCATGTTAATTGTGAACTTAACACAACTGCAGTAACGAATCGAGAATGTTT